TTTCCAACTCCTTGCTATTGTGAACAAAGCTGTGATAAACATGGGTGTGCATATATCTGCTTGGGTGTCAGTTATGGTCTCTTTTGGGTATATTCCCAGTAATGCAATTACTGGGTCAAATGGTATCTCTATTTGCAACTTTTTGAGAAAGCGCCATACTGCCTTTCACAGTGGTTGCACCGCTTGGCATTTCTTAAGCTGAAGGTACTGAAGAACAAATTCAAGCCTTGAGTTACAATTCTTAAGAATGCTTTGGATAGAATATTAAATGATCCAGGAAGCATTAAAAGAAGATGGGAGGAGTGTACAGAGTCACTGTACCAAAAAGAATAGGCTGACACAGAAGAATTTCATGAAACAGCATATGAGCAAGAGCCTGTGGTGGTCAAGGAAGAAGTTCAAGGCCCCAGGAATTGATGACATACCAATTGATATGTTCCAACAAACAAACTCTGCCCTGGATGCCCTCTCCCAAGTTGTGCCAAGAAATCTGGAGGACACCACCTGGCCAACTGACTGGAAGAGATCCATATTTGTTCCCATTCCAAAGCAAGGTGACCCAACAGTGCAGAAATTATCAAACAATATCATTAATATCACAAGCAAAATTCTGCTGAAAATCATCCAAAAACAACTGGAACAGCATATCAACATAACTGCCTAATGTGCATGCTGGGTTTAGAAGAGGCTGTGATATAAAGAGTATTACAGCTAATATTAGCTGTATCTTGGCTGAAAGCAGAGAGCACCAGGGGAATTTCTCTCTGTGTTTCCTTGACTATGCAGAGGCATTGAACTATGTGGATCACAACAAACTGTGGCTAACTCAGAGAAGAATGGGAATCCCAGAACACTTGATTGTGCTAATGTGAAACCTATACTTGGACCAGGAGTCAGTTGTCAGAACAGAGCAAGGAAACACCGCATGGTTCAAAATTGGGAAGGATGTAAGCCAGGGATGTTTCCTATCTCCGTATGTTTTCAATCTGTCTGCAGAATAGCTACGCAGATGACACAACCTCTAATACTAAGAAAAGTTACATTCTGGATAATATACATGGAACATTTAGAGTCTTTAAAATACTGATAGTAATTCAGATAGGATTAAAAACCCCAAAAATAAAACACAACTATATATGAGACACACTGTTATAGCCTATCAACCTGAGTACTTTAAGATGAAAGTACTAATGCTAATACATATTAAGGGAGCTCTTGTAACCTATAGGTAAGGGGTTGTACTATCATCTCAGAGGCACGTGTGAGTTGAATCTCCTAGCTGCTCCCTGGGGAAAGATGGGCATTCTCCTGTGCAATTTACTGCCTTGAAAACCTGGAGCATCAGCTGTGAGTCAATTCTGACTCAGTGACATAGAACCAACAAAACAAATTCACTAAATATAAAATTATTAAGTTGGTTCAGTGGTAGAATTCTTAGCCTCTGTGAAAGATATCTGGATTTAATTCCTGACCCATGCATCTCAAGCAAAGTCGTCATTTATTTTTACTGGAGGCTTGATAATACATGTTATCAACACTTGGCATTTTCAGAAAAGTATAAAAGATTTTTTCCTGTGAAAGTAGATTTCTCAAACTTCAAAATAAGATCACCCTTTCCAAATTGACTTTGTATTCCAGAACAGAGGATTATATGAGGAAATAAGCTAAATGCAAGGTAGGAATGTAACTTTTAATGTAATTATTTCTAGATTGCTTACTAATTTTCTTTTAATTCTTTACCTATCAACTATAGAATAAAGCTTTGGTGTATGGTATTTTGAACAACCTTTTATCTTTACAACATTATAAAGCTAAAGAAAGCTCTGGTTACATAGAGACTTAAGCACTTGGTTGCTAAGCATATTGTTGGCTGTTGGAACACACTAGCTACTCTACAGGAAAAAGATGTAGCAATTTATGTCCATAAAAATTTATAATGTAGAAGTCTGTGGATTGGGTTTATTTATGCTTGGGTATATTTAGTAATTTTTTAATTAGATTAATCCAATATTATATATTGTGACTATGCCTGGTAACAGATTATAGTGATAGTATAAGGGCAGTAGAGACTCTTTTAAGTATTCGACTAAGACACGTTTTTATTTCCTAGGTACAGACAGCTGCACAGCAAGTGGCAGAGGATAAATTTGTTTTTGATTTGCCTGATTATGAAAATATCAACCACGTTGTGGTCTTTATGCTGGGAACAGTCCCCTTTCCTGAGGGAATGGGAGGATCTGTCTACTTTTCGTATCCTGATTCAAATGGAATACCAGTATGGCAGCTCCTAGGATTTGTCACAAATGGGAAACCAAGTGCCATCTTCAAAATTTCAGGTCTTAAATCTGGTAAGAATAATGTATTAAAATAGTTTTAAAATTAATCAAACTTTTTTCCTTAAATAGTATAGCATGCATTATATTTTTTTTCTTATTGCTATAGTGATGCATAACCTTCTTAATAAAACAAGGTTGCTAGAAATAGCCATACCTAGTAGGGTCCTAAACTATTAAGTCAGAATCCAAGGGTAGAGGTAGGGTTCAGCAGTCTGTATTTTAATAGTTTTCCAAGTATTTCTGCTACATTCTAAAGTTGGAGAATCTCTTTGAGGATCACTTCCCTAGTGTATCCACTGTATGCAATGAATAAGCTGCTCCTTGGAGGCAAGGATTTTGAGACTGTTGTACATACTTTGAGCATGTAGCTAGGATGAACCAGTTTTTGGAGAAGGATATCATGCTTGGAGGAGTTAAGAACGTAGGAGAGGAAAACCTTGGCTGAGATGGATTGACATAATAACTGGGGTAATGAGGGGAGGCATAGGATAGAGCAGGATTCAGAACGATTGTGCATAGGGTCGCTATGAGTCATAGTCGATTCAGCAACACATAATAACAGTATAGCATAGGGAGCGCTGGTAATCATTTAACATGTACAGCTGCTAATTGAAAGGTGGTGGGGGTTGTTATGTACCATTGAGTTGCCTGTGACCCATAACAACTCTGTGTACTGTAGCTTTGAACCTTGCCCTGTTCTGAGCCAGTCTCACTAATTCCAACACACCAACCCCCGTTGTCCCAGTTAGATTATCAGTCCCTCTCATCTGGTGTTTTCCTCTCCCTATGCTGCTCCTTCACCCTTCTGAGCTTGATGTCCTTCTCCAAGGACCGATCTCTTCTGGCCACATGCCCAAATTATGTGAGATGGCGTTTCAAAATCCCTACCTCCGAGGAGAAACTTGGTTTCATCAAGACAGACCTTTTTGTTTTCTTGGCAGTCCATGGTATGTATGTTCAAGACTCTTCCCCAGCCGGAGAACTGAAAGGTAGTTCCAAACTCATCCTGGAGAAAGATGCTGTAGGCTTTTCTCATGAAGATTTCTCTTGGAAATTCTATGTAGCAGTTAACTTCGGTCCTGTAGGTTGTTCTAAGTTGGAACTGACTGAAAGAGAAATTTGTTTGTTTTTAAAAAATATGTATAGGGCTTTGTAATAATTCTGATCTAGCTTTGGTAAAATGAAGAGAATCATCACTCTCAAATCACTTTTTTCTGTGACAGCACCTTCTTTTTGTTGTTAGGTACCTTTGAGTCGAGTATGACTTAAAGTGATCCTGTGAACAACAGATCTGAACCCTGTCCTATCCTATGCTATCCTATGTATCCTCTCTGATACACTTGAGCCCATGCTGTAGCATGAAGTCCCTTTGCAAGGAGTAGCCTGCCCTAATAACATGTCTAGACTATGAGAACCGAAGCTTCTCCATCTTTGCTTCCAAGAACCACTCTGGCTGCATTTTTCCCAATACATATCTCTTTGTTTATGGGATATTTAGTACTCTTCTCCAACACTAACTCAAAGGCATCAAAATATCCCAGCAATTTTAGTTAAAGGTTTCTGAGGTCCTATTGCTCAGGAGGAGTAGAATAATAGTGATTCTGCTTGCATGTAATCTTGTAAACTTTTTAGAAAAGGGACAGAGTAAAGAAAAAGAATGATATATAAAATAAATTCAACTATACCAGTTGCCAAAAGAAATATGTTTTGTTTCAAAGTCACCAGAGAAAACATGAATGTCATTTATCTCCTCCCCCAATGCTGAAAACAGCAGAGATTATAAAGATGGTACAGGATTGGGCAGTTATCAAGCTGCAACTTAAGTATATTCATAGAATCCTGCAATCCTTAGATCATATACTTTTTTAAAGTACATAAAAAATTTATGAGAATTGACTACATCCCATATCACAAAGCAAGTTTTAGCAGATAGTAGAAAATTGTCACGTAACCCATTATGCAGTATAATTAGAAATCAAAAGAGAACTTTACTATCCTTGGGAAATTAAAAATACTTAAAAATCATGATAAAAGAAGAAATGAAAATTAAACTATGGAAATAAAATTTAAAAAGTCTCAGATCAAGCCTTTTAGATACAGCTAACTCAAGAGACTAAATCATAGTCTTGAAAATGCACATATGTTAAAAAAAAAGATTAAGAAAAGAAAGAATTGCAATGGCTAAATATTTAACATGAAATCTAAAGAAAGGAGAGAGGAATGATGTTAATGCTAAGAATAGAAATTAATGACAGAAAGTAAACATGTTGTGTAAGGTTAAGTAGAAACAGATTCATTGTTGACCCTTCAGCAGGTTTTCAGAAATGCAGGAGACTGGTCATCTTGCCCCCATAGAGCAGCTAGTGAATTGGGACCCTGAGCCACTGGGTTGGCAGCATAATTCATTAGCCACCAGAGCTCAATGTCACCAAAATCTTGACTCTTGGAAAAAATAAAAAGATGAGACACTGAAAAAGTTGATCACAGAAAACGTGTGAGGAGGCACAATGTTAGTAAGTGTGAAAATAGACCATAATAAATAATAATTAATATTTGTGAACAATGTTTTATCAGTATGTTTAAAAATGATAAAGGGACAGATGAAATACTCTTAAGAAAAATATAACTAGAAACAAACTCAAATAGTAATCCTGAAAGCATATAATATAAAAAATAAATTAAAATTAATCATGAAAAATACACTTTTTTCAGCTGTCAAGTCCAGATGGTTTTATAGACAACTCCTACATCAACTTGTAGAGAATAGGAAAAAGAGACACAGATGCTTATCTTAGTCAAACTAATAAAACCGTGCCAAAAAGAGCAAGAACATGAAGAAATTTAGGTGAATTTCACTTACTTAGAATTTTTATGTATATATGTACGAAACATTTGCAAAGTGAATTCATCATGAACTCTTGTTCATTACCTAGTTTCAAAAATGATCAACTGGTGCATAGTTTTAGTTCATCTGTCTTCCCACACCTCCCTTCTTAAACTACTGTGTGAAAGCTCCTTCTAGAATCACAACATGTTATCTTTGAATATATTGCTATGTGTCTTTGGATGAGAAAGCCTTTTTTTAAAAAAAAATTGACTAATACTTTTGGAGCTCTGGTAGCTTAATGATAAGGTTGTGCCAAGAAATCTGGAGAACGATCACTTGGCCAACTGACTGGAAGAGATCGATATTTGTTCCTATCCCAAAGAAAGGTGACCCAACAGAAT